TTTGCATGATATATCAATATCATGTTTTGGTCGGACATTTGCACCAGGCCTTGGACCAGATGGACTATGCGGTTTACTTGGCTCAAAACTTCTCTCAGTGCGCAGGAGGGGCACAGATAAGACCAGGAGTTGCCCAGTGTTCCAGGATCGGGGATTCAGAATAGATGGCACACTCCCAAAAAGGGTGTTCATGTATGAATTAAAAATATATATGTATATATAGTTCTTTTCACTGTGGGACTCTGCGGTCGTGCAACGGACTAGTTACCATGTAGAGAGCTCCAAAGACCTGTAGACGTCGGTGTTTGCATGTACTGCTCTGGGGCCGTTAGGCATTCTCATGTTGACACCATTGACACCCCTTCCAAGGTCTTTTCTCGTTCATCGTCGCTTTTGGCAGGTGCAGACACTGCCTTGCTGCGGGAGGTGTGGCAACGGGCGATGCGCGCCGAGGACCGATGCAACGAGGCGCTCTTGGAAGCTTGGTCTGCTACCATGACCACCTCGGAACGCTTGGAGGTGGCGACCCAGGAGCCCAGTTGGCAGAGGGTTCTTGGATCTTGCCTGGACAGTTGAAAGTTCCGTAGTTCAACACCTAACTGAGCTAGTTGTGGTGTTAGTTTTGGGATCCTTTCCAGTCATGTCATAGTAGGGTAAGCGAGGCCGCGTGAAGCATCAAAAAGAGAAGATCGAGGGAATGTCAAGGGCTGTCCTCTTCACCTCCTGCGCTTCGTTCGTGGTGCTGTTCCTTTGGTAAATGCTTTAATTGGAAATGAATGTGATGTGGGATGTATCAGACACGAATCAGCACTCTCTTTCTCTCTCTCTCTCTATATGCAGTGCCGTTGGGTTTGTCCTCACAAAATTGCCTTAAAGCTGGAGAGTTGGAGGACCAGGGCTTCCTCCACAATTGGGTGCAGCACATGGATTTGGGCACGCTGGACGATGGCGAGGTTTTGGACGACTGTGAGAACCACACGGCTTTGGTTCAAAGGATCTATGGCATGGCAGTGGCCAAGGTGAGCACATCTTTTCAACCGTTGGCTTTGCAGATCAACACTTTCAAGGCCTACAATGCGCCCCAGGGGGCGTGAACGACAATCGTCGAATCGAAGAAAGACATATATAATGCAAGACCGGTAGGAATGATGTTTGGATTATCTCCCAGAAAGCTTATCAATTCAGAAGTTGTTATTTAGTCTCATATAGCTCAATAAGTCAGTCCTTGATTATCCCGCCAAGAGACCTATTAAGTTCCGTCTGGGTCCCTTAGCTCTCATCTTGTTGGCAAGTTGCAAACGGAAGGGAAACTTGCTGGCGCCGACGCTTTGGGGTTTGAGCGGTCTCTCCTCACGCAACACATGATCTTTGGGATCCATCCTCATGAAGAGGCTTAGTCCCGGGGATGTCTCCACACGAAGACACTCAATCTTTGGGGTCTCTCCTCATGAAACATTTCATCATTGTGATCTCACCTTAAAAAGGGACCTATAGTCTTTGGGACCTCTGCCACTGAAGAGATTTGGTCTCTTAGAGACCCCAAGCAGTGTGTGTGTGTGTGTGAGGTCTAGAGGTGTAGCAGCAGAACATCTAGAGATCCAGAGAGGTGGTGGTGAGTGGCGGTGGTGGTGAGTGAGTGAGTGAGTGACTGAGTGACTGAGTGACTGAGTGACTGACTGAGTGAGTGAGTGAGTGGAGGGAGTGAGTGAGTGAGTGAGTGAGAGAGTGAGAGAGTGAGAGTGAGAGTGAGAGTTGAGAGTGTGTGGTGAGTGTGAGTGAGAGTCAGAGAGTGAGAATTTGAAAGTGAGAGTGAGGTGTGAATGTGAGTGAGAGTGAGCGTGAGTGGGTGTCAGCGTGAGCATGTGTGTGAGAGTGGGTCGGAATGAGTGAGAGTGAGAGTGGGTGAGCGCGTGGGCGAGAGTGAGTCAGAGTGAGTGAGAGTGAGAGTTAGAGTAGAGTGAGCGCGAGTGAGAGTGAGTGAGGGTGTGAGCGTGAGTGTGAGTGAGTGTGGTGCACTTCGAGGTTCACAAAGCCTGCACCCAAATCTGCATTTTGAGGTTCACACAGTCCCTGCCACGAAATCTGCACTTCGAGAATCACAAAGTAGTGCGCCTGCCACCAATTCTGCACTTCAAGATCCACAAAGTACTGCACCGGTTACGATTTCTGAAAACTTGCCACATGTAGAAAAGTCAGGATTCACTGCACCTGTCACGAAATTAAGAGCGTGTCGAAGATCACCACCATGTCTAAAGCGCTGCACGTGCCACGAAATCTGCAGTTCGAAGTAAAACCGCTCAAAAACGGCTCAAAAAGTGACCGTTGTGTCCGAAAATGCGCGCGGCACCACAACGAGAGCGCAGTCGCGACAAGCACCCACCGCGCCCAAGCAGATTTTGCGAGCCTGCGCAGGCGAAATGCACTATGAGGACTTGGAGAGGCATGAATGTAGTGTAAATAGCAACGAAATAGCTTGACCCGACCGCGCAACACCTCGACTAGAGGTGCTTTACACTTACCGTAAGAACCCCTAGTGTGTGATGTGTGTGCACACTGCTTGGGACAAAAACCAGCAAACAGGCCCAGACATCCAATTTGCATTAATTTGCCAATGAGTTGTTAGCTCTGCACTCACGGTGTGACAAATTGTCGCAGGTGCTGGCCTCATACCAGGACTTGCAACACGTCAATCGGATATAGTCGACGTGTTCCAGCGAGTTGAAAACCAGACGAGACCACAGTGGGGGAGGGAGAGAGGGAGAGAGATCTTGACAAACAACGATACACATATTCAGCGTGCTTTCCTTCACCTAGATCTGCAAAAAGATCGTGTCGCGTGTTTCACGCAGTCTTGGTGCAGGAGCGGCAGCTCCAGCATCGACGCTTGGACTATGTTTCGGCACCAACTCCTCCCGCCCTGTCGTCCATGGAGGAACTTAAGAGCTTGGTGCAAGCGATCGCTGAGCCTTCGAGCCTGGAAGGCGCAGCGTTTGAACGCTGGTGTTGGGAGGACCTCCGGAGGATTCGGTCCATTGGATTCCACATCATGATCATACCCTAGATGAAGGGTCGTGGATGTCGTGGCGGCATAGATGTTGCAATGTGAAAAAGAGCACGGAGCGAGCAAGAACGCACGATGTTCAAGTGTTGCCTACCATCGTTTCTTTGCTATTTGTTTGCTTGCAGTGATACTTGAAAGTCCTTACAGCAGGGTTCACGGATTGGATACTCCGACGACCTACATGTTTATTTATTGTGTTTGGTTCCAAACACACATCAATCTGCGTCAACTCGGCCCCTGTCATCAGATTTGACCAGGTCAAGCGCTCGCTGCCCGTGCCACGAAGGTGTCTGAACAATTTTGCCCAGGTGAGGAGTTCCTTTTAGAGGACATCATTTTGCAGGCAGAGCCTGTGAAAGACCTGTTGTTGCTATAAAGCTTGGACTGCTTGCTGTCAGCTCTCAAAAAGTAGCACGCATTCAAGCATTGAATTGGCAAGATCATGCATGTCATGCACAGCCCACAGGATTTGGACATGCTTGCAACCAAGTTTGCACATGTCCATTATTTTTTTGCGAAGCACAGCCTTCGTTGCAGACTTAAGAGCAGTGCTTCTGAGCAGAAACTGTGGTTGGCATCGGGGGGTGATCGGGGTGTGTTGGATTTTGTCCATCCACGGCGATGTTTGTTCTGAGCAGATAGGTGCATTGTAAATCGCGTTGGGTTGTTGCACTCCGCTTGTGACTGGTAGTCACTTGTTTGTCTTGCGTCCTTGTTACTAGTAGCTCCTGGCATTTTGGACAGTATGTTTCACAAGAGCTCAGACATATTTGTCCATATCTTTTTACTTTAGTGACTTTAGTGGCAGCTTTACTTTAGGAAGCGAACGTTGCGTCCACAGCGCTCCAGGGCCAGGGTGCCAATTCAAGATCTCAAGTCCAGCATGATGGAGGAGACGAGTTGCGCAGAAGCGAAAGGTGTATGGCCTCCCAGGTTTGGGCCTCATGATGGCCCCTGGCACGGTATGGCCCCTGAAAGATCGAACCCCAGGTTTTTTGGGGGGTCCCAGGGGCATCTGGGATTTTTTTGTTGAACAAACTTTGTTTGTTGTTGCTGTTGCTGGTGTTGTTGTTGCCGTCGTTGTCGTCGTTGTCGTTGTTGTGGTTATTGTGGTTATTGTGGTGGTTGTGGTTGTGGTTGTGGTTGTGGTTGTGGTTGTTGTTGTTGTTGAATTTTCACACCCCCACGTTGTTCGCATATACCCGCCCGAGAAGATTCAAGTTGTTGTTTTGATGTTTCATCATGTTTCATTGGTTGTTTCTTTGATCGTTTGGGGGGGGTAGAACTTTTTGAGGGTCCAATGCTCAGAGTGCTTGGTATTTTAACTATCTATTGCCGGGGTTTTATGGGTATCGCTGGGTGGCTGGGACGTTATCTCCAGTGTTCCTCCATGATGTTTGGGCATCATTGGATCTCTGGTTTCTTGCCGGGTGTCTCGGGTGTCTCTCGATAGCGAGAGACGCGAGGCTGTTTTTCGCCCGACGCGGCAGGACATCCCAACTCTCACGAGAGATGGGTACCTCATCACCTTCGAGATTTTGAAGAAAGTTTTGAAGGTTCCTGACTCAGGAGGAAATAAGGACCCTGACGTGCATTGAGGGAAGCGAAAGCAACAAGAAAACCCATTGCAATGCATGTTCTCGACTAGGCCTTGAGAATCTCCCCAGACCAGAATCCAGGTCATTTGTGTGGGCTGGTGGCTGCTCAAGAAGCATCCCAGATCTGGAATTCCACTGGCTGTCTATCCCACTTTGATGCTGCTTGGCGAAAAGTCTCACTTTGGCATGGCCGAGGCGGAATGTTTAGGAGGCTTCCAGTGGCTCATTGATTCATATATGAACATTATGAACGGTTATGTGACCGACACTGTGACCGACAGCTTTGGGTTTGGCAAAATCGATCTTCCCCACACTCAACGGAGTGCCAAAGCCAGCAGATTTAGTGTTTGTACTTTTCTCCAGCCACTTCCAACATTTTCCTTTTCATGTGAAGATAGACGAGTTCTGCCCGGCATTCAGAAGTCCCTGCCTGGATGCATTCTATTCCAAGAAACCGTTTCTGCAGAAGGTAGGGAAACACAGTGCTATGGAGTTTTGTTTTCGCATGACACGTCATTCACTGCCCACTGCAAAGTGATACTGGGAATTAAAGTGATATAAACATAGATAAATCATTGACTAATTGAGTGCGCAGCTACTTTTGCGTGTCTATATTTTCACAAGTAAATATATACACACCAACGACAACTTAAAATATTAACATTGTTCCACCATCATGCCAAATGATGCCAAATGCTTCACATGTTGAACCTGTGTTTAATTAAATCGACGCGCCATGATACTCCATGTACGCATTATGAAACCACTTATTCAGAGTAAAGAAATGCAACGCACAATTTGGCCAGTGTAGCAACAAGTAGGAGCTTTTTGCAACCTGACCTCACGTGCCTCCAAGGCTTTTATGGCTGGGCTCACGCTACAAGCGCAGGCAAGGGTGGCCTTGAGCTGCTTTTTCTGATCCGCACAGCAGTTGGCAATTTTATGGGAGTTTGTCAGGGTCAACTCGGGTCAGACAGTAGCTCGCTACTGAAGAATCTGTCACCTGTTTTCAACTCCGATTCTGTGTCACCTTCTACTTGCTCTCAGGTTATGGCTCTTGAAGAAAAATGGAGATGGCGTGAGCGATACTCAAGGTGCAAATCATGTACGGGTGAAAAGGGGCGAGGGCACAAGTGGGCAGGTGAAGCGAGGTGATCAGTTGCGGACACAGGATGAAGCAGGGTTGCAACATGTTAGGTAAACGGGGGGGTGTAGCCCCGAACACAACATACCGAGGGTGAAAAAACATTGTGTTGTACAGGGTTTCGTGGCTTTCCTGAAACTCAACTTATCGTCTTGCAACTCATGAGTTGCCAGACGATAAGTTGAATGCGTTTTGACGTACCCAACCCACTCGCCTGCTCCGTGTACAGCTTGCCAAGGCTCATTTTGCAGCCGCCAGACATCAGTCTTGTTCCCAATTGAGCCATTTGAGCTCACTGTACATTTGAGCTGGCGGACAAGTGTCTTGCACAGCTTCTCTATGTATTCTGA